TCTTTCCTTCTTTCTCTCTCTCTCTTTCTTTCTTTCTTTCTTTCTTTCTTTCTTTCTTTCTTTCTTTCTTTCTTTCTTTCTTTCTTTTTTTCTTTTTTGTAGATCTCAGTACTCTAGCCTGAGATCGACATAATCTTTTTTACTCTGAAGAGTGTCTCCTAATACTTCTTGGAAGGCAGACCTATTGGTAACAAATTCCTTGCATTTTTGTTTGTCTGGAAAGTTCATGTTTTCCCTTTACTTATGACATGTAATTTCACTGGCTACAGAAATTGTAGAATGATGTTCTTTTTCTTCCAACATGTAAAATATTTCCCTTAATTGTTTCCTTGCTTGCATGATTTCTGATAGAACACTAGTGTTAATCTCAGCCAAGTTCATGGACGATAAGGGTCACTAAAGACAGGGTGTTGTGGTTCTTAAGCCGTCCTTTTATTTTGTTCCTCTGTGGTTTTAATGTGATGCTTCAGAATGTGTCTTAATTTTTATGGATTTATTTATTTACTTTCAGATTCCTGTGTTTGTGGTTTGTGTTTGTCATTAATTTTGGAGACCTCTGTGCTCTAATCTCTTCCGGTGTTTGCCCTGCCCTCTCCTCTCAGGGCTCTGACCAGTGGCCTGCCTCCTCTCCTCCCAGGGCTCTGTCCAGTGACGTCTTTCTTCTCCTCCCAGGGCTCCACCCAGTGACCTGTTTCCTAGTTGCCTCACAGCAAAGGTTTTGTTTCTCACCCTTTCCCACTAATCCTCTGGTTTGCATTTTCACAGGGGAGCTGCCATTACTTTACCCTCCCCTTCCCTGGTGTGAGGTTTAAATGACAACATTCCCTTAGGCTCCTTTGTTTGGACCCTTGCTCTCCAGTTGGTGGTGCTTGTTTGGGGGAGATTAAAGAAGCCCTATGAGGTGCGGCCTTGCTGGAGGAAGTACTACCTTGCCAGGATGAAGCCTTTAGGGTTTAGCCCACTTCCAGTGAGCACTTTCAGCCTTCAGCTGGGCTGCCTACTGCCTTGGCCACCCTGCATTTATGGACTTCCTCTGGAACCAAGAGGGTCAGTCTCTCTGCTTTTGTTACCTGCTGTGGTGGCTCATGCATTGCTTCCTTCCTTCATTTGAACTTTCAGCGTATTGGGTGTAGTTGTTTTAAATTTCTTGTTTCCTTTGCCAAATCCTCCTTGTCTGACTCTTCCTTGATACTTGTTCATCTCTTTGGGCCTTGTTTCCTGTTGCTATCCTGCCTTGGAATTTTTTTTTTTTGTTGAAAACTAAGCATGATTTAATGGGGTAACAGGAACTCAAGGAATCCAGCTTTTACTGTGAGTTTTTATGTTAATGTGGCTTGGAACTGGGTGTGTATAGCTTAGTCCCAGAGATTTGAGTTTCCTTCAGTGCCCTTCTTTCCCTTTTGTCTCAGCCCTTTTGTCTTGGGATTTTCTTAAAAGCCCTTTTTAGAGTCCTGCCTCAAGCACCTCAAAGCTCCCACTTGTTACCTATTGGGATCCCATTGCAAACTTATTGGTGATGGTTGGTTGTTAGAAAACAATTCAGCAATCTTATTAAATGCCTGTCTTCTTTCCTTTTCTCTTTTTCTTTAGAGATGGGTCTATTAGGCACATATATTTGAAGCATAATTATTTTCTCCTCCTGCAACTGAATTTCCAGGGTATCCGTTCCCTGGGTTCAGCCATGGGAACTGGTGGCTCGTAAGGATGAATGTGGGGGATGTTAGTATAAGTCTGAACTAAATGACGTCACATTCAGGCGCCAGGCGACTGCTACATCGTTGCCAAGGCGACCGAGATACACTCCCACAATTCACCTGGCTACCTCACCTGT